CAGCTTCTGTAGACATAGGCGAAGGAATGGTTGTGGAGGACAACGAAAATGAAAAGAACATTAAAGTCTCAAATACGGCGACAACTCAGGATGAAGCCTCTAAAATCAGCACCCAAAAAGATGGGAAAGGAACTTTCCAAAAGAACATTGTCAATGTTGAAAATGACAAATTTAGATCTCGTAAGATGAGTATTTGGAAGCGAAAAGCTCAACATAAAGGCGGCGATCAAAATAACGGAAAAGACATACACCGCCCGAGCATGGCCAATGCAATAAAGAAGCGCAAATTTCCATCAAGAGAAGAAATTTCCCGAGCCAGGTAAGGGCTCACACCTCTCCAATTTCTTTGCTTAAAAATCTGTATTTGTTCTATTAAAAATGTATTACTTTAATTGTTATATAACTTTAAGAAATCATGGTAATAATGTGCCAAAAACATTTTGTGATATTCAAAAAAGGAACAAAAAAGAAGACTTTTGCATACCAATTGCATAAAACTTTGAATATAACGGCTATTTATCTCTCACTCACACTATCCAATGAATATACCTCATTTATATTCCTTTTTGTGGTATTTAAATACATACCCATCCCATGTATTTATATATCTAACACCTAAACTTTACTTTTTGCATTTATACCGCCAAAATGTTTCATGTCACATAAAAATTACAAGTTTTTAAAATTTTACTGACCTTTATTCAAATTCGTGCTGATATTTTACAGGGAGAAGAGGAAAGCCCTGAAGAAGCAGAAGATTTAAACTGCAATAGAATGAAGATCAAGTCTGAAGGCTTAAATTGATTTTTCAACTAGAATTAATTAATTGTTTTTATTATTTTGTTAGAAGCAAAGTTTTGAATTGTATTAATGATTTTTGGATTCAAATTTTGTGCCTAATGAGGCTTAAATTAGTTGATTAACTCTGCTGTTGATGTGTTATTTCATCATTTGTTCATAAATTGTACATAGTTATTTTCATTTTAGTGGATTAATTTAATTTAATTTTAGAGTGCCCATGTTGTTCTCTCAGATTAGCTCGTGAATGGTGAACTACAAGTCGTAGAACTCATATGATATTGGTAACAAACCTTAAATATCTTCCTTATTTCCTGCTATTAGGGTTGTCTCAGGCTTATTTCATGTTTGGTAACCAGCCGAGCCTGAGCTCGCTCAGGCTTATCTCATGTTCGGTTCGTTCGAAATTGGCTCGTGTTTGAAAAAATTCATGAACAGTGTGTTTGTGTTCGGCTCAAAAAATGTTTTTCTGCTCAAAATAATTTATGAGCAAATTGAATACAAAATTTTACATAATAAGAATTTTAATATTATTTTAAAAAAATTTACAAAATAAGAACCAATTTATTATAAATTTTATAATTTACAAATTAAACGACTACAAAAAAAAATACAAATAAAAATTAAAATCTAAAAAAAACAATTGCATTGAATATTTCAATAAAATTTACATTTAATGTTTTACATAAACCTAAAAAAGTATAAAAAAAACATTAATATTAAAGAATAATTTTAAAATAATTTATGATCCAATGGTGATGGGGGGAGGTTCGGAAGAGGAGGAACTGCCGCCGAGAATTTCAATGACCTGAAATGGAGCGGAACTTTTCAAAATATAATAAATGCTAAATGTACGTGGAATGGAGCAAGAAGAGAATACACCTTTTTATGCATAGGTATAAACCACCATAGTATGCATCTAAATATGAAAGTTGGGGTGTTAAGATATGTAAATAAATAAGATTTGTGTGCTAGGAAAAAAAATAGTCAACATAAAGCATAAATAAAGGAATTTAAATAAAATAAAATAAAGAAGATTTCTTAATAATAATAATAATAATAAACTTACGCCCACACCTCCTCATACTCTCGGAGAAATCCTAACCGAATTTCGGCGTCGAACGTTCTTCCCGGTTCTCCCGTCCGGTTGCTCCACCGGTGCGGATTTTCCCGCTCAAACGAGTCAGGTAACCTTCCTATTCTTATTCTTGGTCGGTTTCGTGCCTTCTATGGCATTTCTCCTCACCACCGGTGGGTTACTTGGCAAGACACCCCTCCCCTTGCTTGGCTATAAATACCCTTTCGGGGGGAAGGTTACGGGGTTGGCGTTTCATCTTGCTATTCGTTTGCCTCTGAAGTTTTTACATTTTCTGGGAGTAAGCTCTTCATTTCCCTTCATCTTTAGCTGTTTAATATAATGTTTACCTTCGTGGTGGAGGTTTTTAATTATGAATTGAGGGATTTACAGTTCTTTGTGATTTTGAATTATTGGAATGTACATTTTAGTTTGATTATTTCCATGAAGAGAAAGTGATCCTGTAAAGAGTATGTGTATTAGAATATCTTTCTGATTGTTGTAAAAAATTGGGAAGGGCTGAATCACCACAAGCAAGATTCTATTCTTACACTATAAGTTTCACTTCTCGACGATTTCGGAGATTTTTTTTTTTTATGGAAAATTGGGAATAGTTAAATCTTTCCCGCATTTAAGTTTATAGATTTTTTTTTTTTTTGTGAGGATTATTTCTCTTTGAATTTCTGTCTCACGATTCCTTCTTTTCTGTGATCATCTAACGGTTTTTTGGTCCAGTGAGCATTTGGAGGTAAAAATCTTTTGGAATTTCACCTTCTTATGTGATTTAATTATGAAAGATCTCATGCAATGGGAATATTTTTTTCTTTTCTCGGACTTTCTTTTTAAGGAATTAATTTTTTAGATATCCTGAAATGTTGTTTGATCAGTTTGAGTCATGAATTGATTCTTGATTCTTTGTTGTACTCGAGCTAATGGATGTTTTAGCTTACCTGATGATATTTAAGGATTTTCTTTTGTTTTAACACGACATATGGCTGTTTGAAACAAAATTTGTTAAGATCAAGTAGCATTTTGAACGTTGTTTTGTTTACTTCTTTACATAGTCGAAGCATGGCACCTGTTCTTGGCAGGAGATTAAATATTTGAGTGAGACTTAAGAAGAGAGATACATGTGTATGCCTTACAGTTTCTGAACACATTTTTTTCATTTTTTGGTTTTAATTCAGAATTGCTGGTCATAAGCACTTCTCAAGGGTATATATAGTTCTTTGATTCCTAAATTTACTTTTCCTTCAAACTCTTTATCTATGTGCTATTAGCCTGCTAAGGTTGATATTTATGTAAACGTATAATTGGTTGATCTTGAATTTATACCAATTGATTACTACGGCACTTTCACGGCTTTGTCAATAATTGTAGAAATTGGATGTATAATAGGTAATTTTTTTTACATTTGCATAGTATTCTTTTCTTATAACTATACTTTCTTGAATATGGATGCTTGATCATAAGAATTGTATTACATATGTTTTATCAAGTGAAATGAGAATTGTAGATTTTGGGTTTTAGTTTTAGTTTTGTTCTGCTGGCCCTTCCCTGAATTATCCTGAAGTACATAGATATAAGCTTCATTTATGCCTCGGAATATGATGCTATTTGTGTATATTTTGATCTATAGCTGAATTTATCAAATGTTCTGTGCTCAGTTTCTTTTAATCTTTACAGATTACATTCTCTTAAAGATATTATCATTCATAGATGCTATTTGTTCTAATTTTTTTTATTCCTCCTGCTCCTATTATTTGAATAGCATAATTCTTTAATTAACGAAGAATTTTATTTATT